ATCCATGTTTCGAACCCCTCAGGAGTTTACCTGGAGAGTTTACCTGGAGAGAGTTTCGGGGGTCAACGCCCCCGCGGCCCGGTCTGTGACCAGGCCTCCTGGTGGATCAGCGCCTGATCAACCAGGCTGTTGCTGCTGGCTGCACGCAAACCAACGTACGAGCCACAGCCCGGCTGATCAGGAACTGACTTTAGGTGCTTGTCCAGTGCCAGCTTGAAGACTGCCAGGGGTCTGTTGGTAATCCCCCTTATGTGTGCTGGGAGGCAGTTGAACAGTCTCGGGCCCCTGACACTTATTGTATGGTCTCTTAACGTGCTAGTGACACCCCTGCTTTTCATTGGGGGGATGGTGCATCGTCTGCCAAGTCTTTTGCTTTCGTAGTGAGTGATTTTCGTGTGCAAGTTCGGTACTAGTCCCTCTAGGATTTTCCAGGTGTATATAATCATGTATCTCTCCCTCCTGCGTTCCAGGGAATACAGGTTTAGAAACCTCAAGCGCTCCCAGTAATTGAGGTGTTTTATCTCGTTATGCGCGCCGTGAAAGTTCTCTGTACATTTTCTAGGTCGGCAATTTCACCTGCCTTGAAAGGTGCTGTTAGAGTGCAGCAATATTCCAGCCTAGATAGAACAAGTGACCTGAAGAGTGTCATCATGGGCTTGGCCTCCCTAGTTTTGAAGGTTCTCATTATCCATCCTGTCATTTTTCTAGCAGATGCGATTGATACAATGTTATGGTCCTTGAAGGTGAGATCCTCCGACATAATCACTCCCAGGTCTTTGACGTTGGTGTTTCGCTCTATTTTGTGGCCAGAATTTGTTTTGTACTCTGATGAAGATTTAATTTCCTCATGTTTACCATATCTGAGTAATTGAAATTTCTCATCGTTGAACTTCATATTGTTTTCTGCAGCCACTGAAAGATTTGGTTGATGTCCGCCTGGAGCCTTGCAGTGTCTGCAATGGAAGACACTGTCATGCAGATTCGGGTGTCATCTGCAAAGGAAGACACGGTGCTGTGGCTGACATCCTTGTCTATGTCGGATATGAGGATGAGGAACAAGATGGGAGCTAGTACTGTGCCTTGTGGAACAGAGCTTTTCACCGTAGCTGCCTCGGACTTTACTCTGTTGACGACTACTCTCTGTGTTCTGTTAGTGAGGAAATTATAGATCCATCGACCGACTTTTCCTGTTATTCCTTTAGCGCGCATTTTGTGCTCTATTACGCCATGGTCACACTTGTCGAAGGCTTTTGCAAAGTCTGTATATATTACATCTGCATTCTTTTTGTCTTCTAGTGCATTTAGGACCTTGTCGTAGTGATCCAGTAGTTGAGACAGACAGGAGCGACCTGTTCTAAATCCATGTTGCCTGGGTTGTGTAACTGATGGGTTTCTAGATGGTGGTGATCTTGCTTCTTAGGACCCTTTCAAAGATTTTTATGATATGGGATGTTAGGGCTATTGGTCTGTAGTTCTTTGCTGTTGCTTTACTGCCCCCTTTGTGGAGTGGGGCTATGTCTGTTGTTTTTAGTAACTGAGGGACGACCCCCGTGTCCATGCTCCCTCTCCATAGGATGGAAAAGGCTCGTGATAGGGGCTTCTTGCAGTTCTTGATGAACACAGAGTTCCATGAGTCTGGCCCTGGGCAGAGTGCATGGGCATGTCATTTATCGCCTGTTCGAAGTCATGTGGCGTCAGGATAACATCGGATAGGCTTGTGTTAATCAAATTTTGTGGCTCTCTCATAAAGAATTTTTTGATCTTCGACTCTGCTGGTTAGCGGCTTGCTAAAACTGAGTTAATATTGGGGGTTGGTACTTTTTTCCTTGGGGGTTGTCTTTTTTTAGGACCCCATTTTTTTAAGTGGGGCTCTGGCTTTGTTTGTTTTGTTTGGGGGAGTTTGGGGGTTTTCTTTGTTTTTTAAAAAATGGGGCGGCCCGCTTCCCCTAAAAGGGTTCTTGCTTATTGTTTTGCCTTTTCCGGGCCCAGGGGGCTCCCCCTTTTTTAAATTTCCCCTTTTCTTTTGGGCCCTTTTGTTTTCCCTTTTTTCCCTTTAAAAAAAAACCCCTTCTTTCTTTCTTTTTAAATTTCCCACTCCTTTCCTTTTCTTTTGGAGGAATGCCTTTTTGGGCCCCATAATGATTTGCCCCGTTTTTTCGGGGAAAGGGGTTTTTTTTGTTTTTATTACTTCCCCTTTTTCTTGGGACTTGGACTTCCCCAATTTTTTTTATTAGTTGTTTTTTAATTTTTTTTCAATTTTGATTTTTTTTGGGGTCCCCGTTTTTTGTTTTTTTTTTTTTTTTTTTTTTTTTTTTTTTTTTTTTATAGTTTTTTTTAAAATTTTTTTTTTTTTTTTTTTTTTTTTTTTTTTTTTTTTTTTTTGGGGGAATTTTTTAAGCCCCCCTTGATGTTATTTTTTCTCGGGGCCCCCGAAAATTCTGAACCCTAATTATTTGCTATATTTTTTTTTAGGTGCTTTTTACCCGACAAGAGTGGGTGAGGCTGGGATTTTCCCAGTGGTCAAACTTTTTTAAAGATTTTGGAATTTTTCTGGGGGGGGTTTTTCATCGAGGCCTGGTTAAAACTCCAACAATATTATTTTTTTCCCTCCCTTTTATCCCTAAAAAACCCCCCAGGACGTTTTGAGGATAAGTTTTTCCCCAGGGGCAAAAAAAGTGTCCTGAATTCAGCACCCCGGGCTTGTAACCCAAAATGATAGGTTTTTTTTCCCCCTTTTTAAAAAATCCATATCTTGGGGCCAAAAGGTTCTTAAAAAGGTCTAAATTAAACCCCCCCCCCCTTTTTCCTTTTTCCTCTGCAACTTTAGGTTGAAGGGATTTTTGTTGTGTTGTCCTTTAGGGGGTCTATGAAAGGAAATTTGTTTCCCTTGGAAGGAAACGGGGGGATTTTTTTTTTTCGGCTTAGCCCCCTGTATTTTTTGGGAAAAAAGGATCGACTGGGGGTAAGGGTACTGGGGGGTTTTTTTCCCCGGCATTTTCTGATTTTTTTCCTCCTGGGCCACTAAAACCTTTTCCCTTTGAGTTTTTTTCCCCCCCCCCCCCTTTTTTACCCGGGTTTTTCCCCAGGCCCGGGAAAGTTTTGTATCTTTTTGTCCCCTTTAGATGGTACCCGGGCAATTTAAGTTATGCACGTCTTTCCTGTACTGAAGAGGACACTTTTCGGGGTGAAAAAGTTTAAGAAGGGGAGTTTGCATTTTCCCTGTTGTCATAGGGGCAGACTTTTCTGGGGGGTCATAGTTGCATGTCCCACTGTTTTTCCAGTTTTCCCCATCCCACGATCCCAAAGTCTATATGAGCACAGGCGGGTTTTCCTTTTGCCTTGGTTTCTTGACTGTTTCCCCTTTTGGTGCATGTTTCCCTGCTTCTCCATCCTCCCTAGCACCAACAAGGGAGCTCCCACCATTGTTTTTTGGTAATTTATCCTCCATTGCTATGGACCCTCTTGTTTGCTATTTCCGCGGTATTTCATTTTGCAAATTTTTTTTACTATTTTTGACTACACTTGTTTCCCTACAGGCTCCTTTCCCTATGGGGTCATTTATATTTTCCTTCCTGTAAATTCCGACTACCTGAAAAAACTCCAGCCACCATTACGCCCCCAGGACGATCTCCAGCTTCCCCTTTTCTGCCCCCAGGACAGCACCTCCAGCTTCACCATTTCTGTCTCCCGGGACAGCACTACACCCCACATTTACTGATACCGGGACCACCCCACCCTTTACATTTTGTGACTCAGGGCCAGTTCCAAGGGCATCCATTTCACCCCAGCCTTTTATTTCCCATTGTTGTAGAAAGCTTCCAGGTTTTCATGAAACAGCTTTGGTTTCCCTTTTTTAATACCCTCGGATTTTTAGTCCCAGTTTTTCCCTTTGGGGGCAACCCAAAAACACCTCTTTTTAAAAATACTGCAGTAGCTAGTTCGGATATCTGCACAAGGACTGACACCAATTTCCACAAAAATGACAATTTATCCATGGGGGAAGCCCGTTTTTTGACTGACCAAACACCACAGCTTCATAATGATTTGAATGGTTATTTACTGCAATTCTACTAGAAAACCTCTTGAATTTTATATTAATAACCTCCTTAATAAGCCTAGCTTTTTGTTTTTTTTCCCTTTTTTCAAACTTTTTGTAATTGGACAGCTTAACCGTCACGTTCCTGATTTTTAATGTTTGTGTTTAAAAGGGCCCTAAAAACCCATCCGTTTACAGTCGCTTTTTGTCCAACGAAACTGTTTGAAACCTCCCGGTTCGGACCAGTCAAGGGTTTTTTTGGGACCAGTCAAGGGTTCGGACCAGTCAAGGGTTGGGCCCATCAAGGGTTGGGACCAGTCGATCTCCTGATCAGTGGTCACTTTTTAAAACATACGTCGTGTTTTGAGCTAACCAAAGGGACTACTGGAAATTACACCCAGAATAGTGATTTGACTGATACAAAAGTATAACTTGCGTGTTGAAGAGCCGGTGAATCGGGCATCCTACAATGACGTACGTCCCCTCTTTGTTTATCAATCGTTTATCGCTTTCTATTTTTTTTTTTTTCCGCCCCCCCACAATAAATGCATTTTTATCACAAATTTTTACTGGTGAAAATTTTGGGGGGGAAAAGGGCGCTTTTTCTGTATAAAATTGCTTCCGTTGTGTATATTGCGACCGCGGAAACTACAGGTTTATGAAATTCACAAACGCTCGATTTCAAGAAAAAGAAACTAAGAAAGAAACTCCACTCCACAAAAAACCATTATAAACTGGTTATTCTACTACAACACGTATTCTGCTATTCACGGTATCACAATTATGCGATACACTACGCCGGGAAGATTAAAAAAAACACTGACCTTTGGTAAGTTTCTGCGACTTCGGCACCTGCCCCCTATAGGCTTTACATTCATTTACAAATTCACCTGTTTTCAAATGACACTTTAGCCTTTACATCAATAACTAGGAGCCACTGATATCACAAAACCTATGAAACCCAAATGTTTTCAGGAGACTTTCTTTCCTCTGACCAAAGTTAAATATTATTATTTTCACAAGGAAAACGGCCTATATTCCCCCTGGCATAAACTCTGCTAGGTAATCACACAAAATCCCCTTTTTTTGACTCAGAAAATAAGTTTTCCGCCCAAGATTGGTTCCAGCGCTAGAGGGATGTTCGTAGGGGATTGATGACACAAATTAAAGTTTAAGCACTAAGAGCAACCGTGAAAACACCAAAAACCCGGGGACACAAAAGGCACGCTGACATCACCTACTGTGTAAAATTCTCATGACACACCTACCCAATAACAGGGGTCAGAAATTTGCAATTTGGCCCAAATTTTCAAAAAAATTAAAAAAAATGACAATTTCAAAACAGGGCCAGAATAACAGGCAACATTCCGGGCTCTAAAATAACATTTTCTTTGTTCATCAGTCAAAAACTCCAGGCCCCTCGGGTAATACTCTTGCTTTCTATTTTGAATTTTTATTAAAACAAAAAATAAAGGGTTTTACTTTTAAAGCAGACTACTGCAATATTGAAAAAAATGAAAAAAAAAAAGTCATCCCATTCATGACTGCATATTAGAAGGGCTACTTTAGACTTTTTATTGCTTATTTTTGAACATGGGAAAAAATCAAACTTTTTCCCCTACTTTGAGTCCTTTTAAAGGGTTCTTTCATAGTAAAACCAATCAAATCATCTCTATTTCTATAAATTTTTTTCCATTCTATCAAATAAACCCAAGAATACAACCAAATTTTTAGAAAAAACCCACAAAGTTGTCATTTTAATAAAAAAAAAAGCTTTTTTTTCTGCTGCTGCATATTTTTTTATATGGGGCACACTGACCACACAGACCCATTCTCTTCACATGTGGGCCTACCATTTTCTCCTGCTTATTGAACCGCTAGAATTTAAGTAATATACCAAAAACTGGCTAAAAAACATATATTTTAGAACCCAAAAACAGTCAAAGGGTTAAAACCAGTACACGGGTTTTTTAGGATTTTCAATTTAAAAGCAAATTGAAGAACTTAGTAATGATTAGTGTATTTTCAGTATTAGAAGTAAAGAATAATTGTACAGTATGTGTAATATTAAAAATATTTTGAATTAGTTTTTTAAAATACAGGCAGGGGAAGGGGAACCTGCCGTGGCACTATAAAAAAGTGTCTTTTTCTGTTCCACCCACGAAAAGATTGATTCTATCCAATTCTGAAGACAATCCATCCGTGTGGGGACATGGCCAAGAGAATAGCCTTCACACCTCCGTCGAGAACATGACGTTTCTGGGTTTGGCTGCACACCCCCTCACCAACCTCTTTGCAGCGGACAGACAGGGAATGATCATTTTTAAGGTGGGCAGCAAAATTTTTAGCATTTGCTTTCTTGTACTTTTTTTTTGGCGATGTAAAAGCATATTTTTATATTGTAGGCATGTGTTTTGATTTGTATTGTAATTTCCCCTATATAGTACTGTATAAGACAAACCTTTCCTCACTTAATGAAAGAGTTCCACTCCTAAGACCCTGTCGGGAAACTATTTCATCGCTAAGTGAGGGGCATCTATATTGGTGTGGTTTTTATCCCCACTTTTATATTTTTTTAATGTCACCTTTGCATATTTATAACATTTTATTATTTTTTTTAAAGTTTTTTAAAAATGGTACATATTGAATAAACAGAAAAAAGAAAAATTACTCAATATACTTTTTTTTTTTTGCATGCGGGCAAGAAACCCATCGTAAGCCGAATCTCGGAAAAAGAGTGCGTCCTAAGTGAGGAGAAAGCTATACCGTATTTACTTCAAAACAATTTTTGCAGTGTGACTTTTTTACAAAAATATTTTTTTCCCTTTAAGCACATAGTGAAAAAAAAAAAAGATAAATTTTTTAAGGTTCTTTTAAAATGCTTTTATTTTCCCCGTTAGAACGGAGAGACCTGCTTTTGCAGCTGGGAAAACCCTTCTTTATTTTTGTAAAGAACGTTTTCCCACGTCGCCTTTACTTAACCAAAAAAAAAGTAAAATGCTCACAATAAAAAAAAAAAAAAAATTCCCCTTTTTTTCAATTTTTACATTTGTCTTCAACCATGAATGACTGCATTAACCCTTTTGGGTCGGTCCCCCTAAATTTCAGCTTCGAAGCCGAGCAGCCCCCTTTAAACAACCAAAATTTTAGCAGCTTCCATTTGCAGGGGAAACATTTAGGCCTATATATGGAGTGCATCTGCATGGGCAGTGTGCGCATTAAAAAAAAAAACTTAGCTCGATCAGTTTTTGGGGTAAAATTGCAAATTTCAGCGTATTCGGAGTTTTTTTTTTTTGTATTCCCGGGTTTTGGGCTCATTTGATAGAATGAAAAATTAAGACATAGAGAATTTTTTAAGTTTTCAGAATAAAAATATCTTGAAATTGGGTCAAAGTATGAAATGCCCTTAAAAATTTTTCTGATTTTAAAACAAACAGTGCATGCACCAGTACACATCAACTGGT